CATATCCCGTGAATATTGGTCGGGACATGTCCCTACCGTCCCTACCCAAACCTACGCCCATGACATAGACATCCTCAGACGGACTTTGCAGGCTTTCGTAACGGACTGGTTCTGCTTCCTCTAAAGACAAAAATACAAACACATCTGGAGCTCACTTTCAAATTTACACACAATTAATTTAAACACCTGAGCACCATCCTCTGTGCTAATTCACTAAATATCTTTTCCTCACCTTGAGCTTTCACCTCCAGCATCGGCTCACCTGCCCCCTCCTCTTTGTTGCTTTGTGGGCTCTCTGCGGGGATCTCCTGCATCTCCATGGCTGCCTTTGCGTTAATTCCCTAAATTTTTATTCACCCAGAGAGTTTAAGTTTTCTGACAATGAGGGTTATGTAACTTTTTCAAAGTTCAAACACAAATGCAGAGTGATGCTAAGTTGCAAATATGTATAGGTCAAATTGGTTATAAAGAATAAGAGCAGCTCCTTATGTCTAGTCAACGTGTGACTCATTTCAAAGAAGACTCATCACTTCCCCTTAAACATTTCTTTTTATTTTATTTAATTCCGCCCTTCCCCTAAACTGCACGTAAACAACTGACAAATAGCTTTTGGGGTTTGATCTTGCCTCACATCTTAGCTCACTTGAAAGCAGTGCGATGTGTGATAATAATTTCGTTTTTTTTATTCAGAGGAAAGACTTAGAGAAGAGAAATCTTTTAAGATGCTATGAAATCATTTACCACCTTGGGCTTTACTTTCATTTTTTACCACATAAAAGCCTGAGATATTTTGTTATAAATAATGAATAACTGTGAAATGGAAGTCTTTGTTTTTTTTTTTTTTTTTATGTATTGCAATTGAATATCTGCAAAGTATTATGTGTGTCTTTTCAGTCCGATACCTTGAAGTATTTTTTTTTAAAAACATGCAAAACACTATATAAAGAAAACTGCAAATCAAGAACCCATCTGACTACATGACAAACTAAAAGATCTAAAGAAAGGCTAAAGAAATGTCCTTCTCTAAGGAAAGTTAGGAACAAAGTTATTATTTTAGTCTATAAATGGTTTCTAACCAATATCTAAAAGGCAATGCATATCAGCTGCTCCAGATGCACATCGCAACAATCAATGCAATGTAAATAATTAGTTTTGTTTAATAAAGTATCAATCTTGCCACAATTAGTGGTACCCCTCAAACATTTATATACAATAAATGTAAGGAAGCATTGCTTTTTCCATTGATCTGGTCTAATATTCTCAACATTTAATCTTTGTTTCTCATTAGCCATAATCATCCAGATTAACAGAAATAAACCCATTAAATGCATCAATCTGTGTAATGAGCTGACGGATACGTTTTAAATTAAAATTATATCTATTGGTATTACTTAATTGTTCAATGACTTTATTGTGATGCCCATGCATTGGTTTTGTTCTTCCTCTAAACATTTATAGACAAGCTAATTCCTTGTGAAGCTGACTCAGAATATGTTGATGAAGTGATATGAAGCCATCATTTAATCAGACCCTTTTTCACTTCCTTTTCTTCAAATTATTCACTGTCTCTCAAGTTTTCAGTGGGGGGGTAGGGGGGTTCCGCTATTGCATGTAAACAAGCTGAGCACTGATGCTCAACTGTATTTAAAATAAATTATTATTTTTCTGCTGTTGTTTGTAATGGTTTTCCCAGAATAAACGATGGGTCCTTGGTGCTGCTACTGTGTGTGTTCAGAGCTTGCAAGATACTTGCAGGAAGCCGAGTTGATGGCGCTCTGTCTGGCATTTGATTGCTGCCACGTCGTGTTCTTTGCTTGTAGAAACCAAAACCCTCAGTTGTTTGTGGTTTCAAACTAACTGACAAAAAAATGCATAAGAAGTCAAGTTTAAGAGTTGGGCCTTGATGAGAAACCCTACATGTGGCAGAAAAACAGCATCCCAAGACTGAAACATGCAGGGCCGTGCAGAGACCACTAAAGGGGCAGGTGCTCAAAACAACGAAGGGCACAAATAACCGCCTTCTAGGTCAGACTATTAAACAAAACCACACAGCATTCAGAGTTTAATAAACAATGATAAATTACAAAATTGTGAGATATACAGTCTAAGCTAAGGAAAATATCTATATAGAGCATACAGCTATGCATATGAAAGATATTTTATTAGTAATTTCTTTCTGCAGGTCTAATTTGTTCTCGGAAAGTATTGCAATATTCAAACCTGCAATTGTGCAAGATATGTAAATCAGAGCTAGACCACCAGACATATTTTATCTTTACAGAATTACACTATTAAAAATATAAACAAGGGCACAATGCAACATTTTAGTGTGCTGTAATCTATAAAAAAAGAGCTGCCTGTTTGCTACTGCAGTGGTGATGAAGAGGCCTGTCAGTGTCTGTTGTATTTCATTACCTCTCTGCTTAAACCGCTACTCCGTGCTGAAGCAAAAACAATACAACGTTCAACGTTTTCCGTTATCTGACAAGTAGTAAGTCTACGCCACTTTATTCACCAAAAACGTTTTTTTAATTCACCAAAAACTGTTCTGTAATCTCGAACGTTCGCCACGTTGAGCTCTGCAGTTAGCCGCCTTATCTCACTGTGAGAAAGGCAATTGCATTGTGCGTCATGGACAAAAGGTCAAAGGTAACAAGGTGACCGGAGGGTTTATTATTAAAAAAATTTATTATTAAATAACCCCAACAAAAAAAAACAAATAATTTTAGTACATGTTATTATGTGTCAGAAGAGGGCTTAGGAAATAATAATACAAAAAAATAAAAATAAAAATGAACCAAAAGGACACTTGGGGGCAAGGAGCAAAAGGGGCAGGTGCTCAAGCCACCCTAGCCCTCCCCCTCTGCACGTGCCTGCAAACATGGTAGTGGTAGCATCATTCTGTGGGTGTGTGCTATTCTTCAGGAACATGGTAGAGACATGTTGAAGTTGAAGGTGGATTGAGCCAAACAGAGGAAAATACTAGAGGGAATCGAAAAACACGCAGAGTGGAGTGGTTTGAATCAAGGCGTGTCCAGTTATATACAATCTGGTAATGTGATCTACTCACAAATGTTGTTTTGACTTTTTTTCTTTCATTTCCTCCTCGATTATATTTGGAGACCCGACAAAGTTTATGTGGCTGAGTTTCATTGTTCTCATTGGTTTTTTCCACCTGTAAGTACTTATTCTTTGCATCTTGACAGGTTATTAAAAGACTGTCTTCTTTTCACTTATTGGTTTCCTCTTAGCCCTTTGGACCGGCTACATGACCAGGTCGCATTCCTGCAATCCAGGGTCTGCTTACATCTTGTTGTGCAAAAATAGGTCAGGTTTGCCTCTGAATAACGACGAGTAAGGAAATTATAACAAAGTTAGTCATTTAGAACAAACTTACGTAGCTGGGGAACCACTGATCTGGTAAAAACCAGCCCCTTGTTCCACACTTCACTTCATCCAGCTTATAGCCCATGAACATACAGAGCCATGTTTAGCTACCATGTCATCCAGTGAACTTTGTGTCTTGTTGTAGGTTGGTTGATGAAGGACGCAAATGCCGAGAGGCAGAAGCAGCTTGTTGGTGAAGAATGTTTTAATGAAAAAAAATAAGAAAACAACACAAAAACACAGGGAGCCAGAGCCAAAACAAAAATAGGAATCCAACTGGAGGAACAAGCAAGGAGTGTGAGCAGGAGAAAGGTTTAAATATTACGAAAAAAGACCTGGGTTGATTAGCTAACGGGTTGATATGACACTGGAAGGACCAGGAAATGAATCTAATTAAATATCACAAAGAATAAAACTAAGAGCAAACTAAGAGTAAAACATGGCAAAACTGATCAGATGAAAATAACTGCACTAACAGAAGAAACAAATATGGATGAATGAAAATAAGAAATCAGTGCAGAAAAATAACAGAAGCAAAAAGTGCAAATAAAACGGAATCTGACATTTTGTTGGAAGAGAATTTTTCCTGGGCTTCTACATGAGCAGATCAAGCTTTATTCAATCTCAGTGTAATATGTTCAAGATTAACGATTCTATGAAGGCTTCACAGCAGTATGTAATTGTTTTTTTATTTTTTTTTCTAGACGTAAACCCAGCAAATAGATTTTTAAAAGCTAAACCACTGATTTACACGATGCAGCAGTAAGTAGAATTTGATGGCATACATTTAATTTAGTCCACAAATGTAATATATTTTTTTATCTAAGAAGCTTGGATACGATTGGAGTGTAACATGAGAACAAGCTGTTGCTTGTGTTGCTATGGAGACGATTGTTGATGAGACAGTTTCCATCAGAACTGCAGCTGACAGATGAAGTAGGTGGTGGACTGACAGGAAGCTCTGTCCCAGTTCTTCTCAGCCGGGCCGTCACTGTTCAGATAGGCACAGTCTCCACTGTGTGCAGCTTCAGTCCAGTAGCTGCAAACATAACAGCAATTAATGTTAACGATTCAAGAAAAGGTAAAAAATACGAAGGTTATTTTTAGAAAAGTGAAGTAATCTCTTTTGTGGCTCCTTTTACTGAGAAGATAAAAAAAAAAAAAAACAGCCAACGTTGAGTTTTTTCCTATGGTGTTAAAGCTTATGTTTACTGTTTATTTATGTTGCAATTTTTATAAAATTTTATAAAAATAGAGAAATTTACTGCTTTTTGTGAACAAAAAAAAATCAAGTCCTGCCCTCTATTAGCAGACAGTGTGTGTGTTGGGATGAACGGCGCAAAAATTACTTTGAGATACTTTGTCAGTGTGGAGATTATTACTTTTGCTGTGATTTCATGGTCTTGTTTTATTTATTTATTTTTTTTCAAACTTAATAGTTAATTGATCAGTTGGTGCTGAAAATTTATTTCTCTATGAACAGTGATTGAGTGCCCCCACCTGGTCAAATAATTATGAGCTAAATTGATCAGTATATGACTCCTCATATCAACCATAGTAAAAACAGAAATCAACAGGAAGTGAGCATAAATAACATAATAAAATTAAAGCAATATTTAGCGATCGGTTGTTAAATAAATAATCTATTTCTCATGAATCACCTCTGCTGCAGCTTTCTTCTGTTGACCCAGTTCCATGTGGAGTCTTCATGTCTCAGTCCAATCCAATATTTCAGATCCCCTTTCTTTGTCAGGAAGTTCTAGAGCAAAAGGAGAGACAAGGGCTCAGATTTGCACAAAATGCACAGTGTAAAACTAATTATAACGTAACAAACTGCTCGCAGTAACAGTGACCATCGTCACAATGCAAACCTGAACAGTCTGGCTGGAAACAATAGCCAGAGATCCTCCACTGGAGCTGCAGTTCTTCTGACTCTCTGACCAGGTCAGTCTGGTGGTGGACAGGAAGAAACAGGATTTGCCAAAGGTGAGCCAGCCGCTGGCGCACTGCCGGCAGGGAAGTCCTAAAAAAAAATGAGACAGATGAGTTAAAGCAAAAATCATGAAAGAGAAAACTGTCTATTAAGACAAATGTGTAGATAGGTAGATAGGTTTGAAAATGTCTTTGTGCTTTCATGATGTAATTTAGCATATTTATTGATGTTATTAATATATGTTTAACTTGTGCTATTGTCCAAAATATTAGAGTTGTTTGACATTTCTTAAGCTTTTAAGGTTCTGATCTTCGTTTGGGTCAGTTCTCTCTATTGAAATGTGACAGATTATAATCTTTGATCAAGACAAAATAACTCTGAGCATACTCTTGGCAGACAGGATGTATTGGAGACACATAACAAGAGACTGTAAGAAAGTTATAGAAAATTACTTTAAATCAGATTGTCAAAAGAGGTTTGAAATGATCCATAGCTACAAAATGTCCCATGGCAGACGGCTCCCCCAGTACTGCAAACTACAAAACATGGTGAAACTACTAGCGCGCAAACAAGAAAGATCTTCAACAACCTTGTTCCCAAATTACCAGTTGAATAAAAATAACTTTAAATGACTTCAAAATATTGTTCATCTGCTATTGATAATGTTCAAGGTTTGAAACTTTGTCACACTTGTCCCCTTTTCTTATTTGTCAAAGCACATGCTCACAATTTGAACTTCTGAACAAGACCACTTTGGATAAAGGCAAGGCAAAAATAAAATAAAATAACTGACAAAGTATCAGATGTTTTTCTTTGCTTATAGAGGGTTTTATTTAGCACCTTTACACTTACTGTTGAAATGATTGTTTGGGTAGTAGCTCTGACAGTCCTCCAAGCTGCATGTTGGACTTTGTTGGTCTCCGGATCTGTCGTTTCCTGGGCAGACAGTGGATCCAGCTCGGACTACAAAACAGAGCACAGTGGGAGGAGACATGAGGGTAAGAACAGCAACCTCAGGCTGCAGCTCTGCAGCTAACAGCGGTCTGCTACAATCTGTTGCTACAAAAAACTGGATCACCCTAAAGCACGTTACAATGTCACTGTCTGCACAAATATAATGCCCTACTTTACATCTAAGTCACCCTGAGGTGTGTGTTTTAGTTGCAGTGATGCATGGCGGCGGCGCATACTCACGTTTCACACCGAGGACAAAAACCAGAATGAGAAGGATGAAGCAGATTATTGTGAGGATTAAACACAGCACCCGGTACAGTCCTGGTTTTCCTTCATCCTGTTTGCCTGAAGAGGAAACCCAAATGTCAGTGAGCTCTTACAAAGACCACCGTCAGAGTGGAAAAAAACCCTTCACCCATTACCTTCCTCTCCCTCCAGCTCCACGGACAATTTTGCTTCATCTGGTTTCTCTTTTTTATCCTCAACATAGCTGCGAAAAAATTTGATGTACATGGAGAAAACTGTCCTCCGACTATATATCAGGCACCTTGTTTACTCTTTTCTGCTCTGGTTTCCTGCTCTGCTGACGCAAGCGTGCCTCTGCTGGAGTTTAAAGAGACCCCTCTCCCACCGCAGCACCATGGCAACTCCCAGTAAATCCTTAATTATTCACATTGCACAGAGCTTGTCCTTGAATGCCCCCAAGCTTTTTATGTGTCTTCCTCTTTAAGAATGAGAACGTGTTTGTGTGTGTGAGAGAGACAGACAGTGAGCAAGAACAAAATCCAAACATGTCACAACAAAGACTTACTTCTCCAAATCAAATCTCCAAATCTCCAAATCAAGAGATAGGATTTCATTACAGATCATATTAGATCTGTGTTTGAGTCACACTTATCATAACGAGTTCTTCCCAATGACATCTGTGAAGGAAAAGTGATAAGAACAACTTTGTGTTCAAAGTTTTGTATGCAGAATTTGGAGAACAGCTCAGGATTCTTTTGTTTTAGTTCTGCGTTGCTTATTATGCCACTTTGCAGCCAAAGACACTGAGTCACCCATCCAAATCCCTCATTACAGGAGTTTCAATCACTTCCAAAGCCACTGGTGTATAACATGCAACACATGGGTGTGCAGATTGCTTCTACAAAGAGTTGTGACAGAATGGGTCGCTCTCTGGAGCTCAGTCCAGTGTGGTGCCACGATACGATGCCACTTGTGGAGTAAGTCCAGTCCTGAAATTTCCTCAGGCTCAGAGATACATCGACTCTGATCTTCTAAAGCTTTGTGCACAAAATCAGGTGCAAACTTGATCAAATGTGCAAACCTGAACCAGAAACAATACGCATAAAGGGTTACATCAGCAAAATGTGGACAATAAATTAACGAGTTTGTCTTCATGAATATGCAAAACAAATGCTGATCATCAGAAACTGCAAAGTATTGGAAGGAGGATATTAAAATGTACTGACTTACCGCCTCAACGTGATTTATTAAATCAGAACCAGATTGCGGGTGCTGTTTTTGTGTCTATATTCAGCACATATAAAAAGCAGGTGTAAACTGGCAGGTAAAAATCGCTAACTTGTACGGAGGAGGCGGCATAGATACAATGACAGAAGGCATTATGCTGTTTATTTTATTTATTTATTTATTTTTATTCATATACTTTATATACTGAGGCAAATGGTAAGTGTTAAGAACATAACTATTATGCAACTTTTATGACTTCAGTGAAACCTGAAGTCATAAAATGAGAAGTCTGAGAAATTTCCTTTCTTCCTCATTTTGACAGCATTTATGTGAAGGTGTTGCTCATCAGACTAAACCAAAGACTTTACATTTCAAGTGTAAGGAATCCAAGTTGTCACTAAAACTGCTGAATTTTGCAAAAAAAAAAAAAAAAGCAACACCCTAGTCTTCAAGAAAACGTCCTTCTTAGCTCCTGACTGCCCACCTAGTAATTTTTGATACACTAAACTGATCTCTGATTAATCTAGATTCTTAAAAATAAAGTAGTAAAAAAGTAATTTTGAGAATTTTGATCATTTTTTGCGGTGCTTAGAGTACATTAATATTGATTTAAGGCTAAGATGCAAATCTAACAGTTCAGTTTCATTAGACAAATACAACATGTGGATAAATGAAACGGCTTTTTTGCAGCAGTGTGAAACCACAAGCTAGACACAAATGAACAAATGTAACCAAACTGTAGTACTACCTGTGGCTAGTACTACATTCTGCTCAGAATGTAAATAATACAGACATATATTAAATAACAAAAAACTAAAGTGTTGAGGAAAATGCATCACAAAGGGGTGACATAGACTGAGAAACATGTTGAAACATGAGGAGTTCTGTTGCTTCAGCAGACATTTAGCTCAAAGGATAAGCTCATTTGTCCTGTTAGTCAGTTTTATCTGTGCCTTTGTTATATAAATGCATACCTGTTCTTGATTTGACTGTCGGATGAAAGGCTTCTGCTTCTACGTAGACATCCTCCGATGGACTTTGCAGTTCTTCGTAATGGTCTGGTTCTGCTTCCTCTAAAGACAAGAATACAGACAAATCTGGAGCTCATGTGCATATTCTTGCCATGCAATTAATGTAAACACCTGAGCACCAAAGTAATTAGCTTACTTTGAGTGAATTCATAGCAGATATTGCTCACCTTCAGTTACCACCTTCAGCATCGGCTCACCTGCTCCCTCCTCTTCGTTGCTTTTTGGGCTCTCTTTGGGGATATCCTGCATCTCCATGGCAGCCTCAGGTCTGATCCCCTAACTTTCGATTTACTCAGAACGTCTATGGGTCAGTTCACAATGAAGGTTATGTAACTTTCTCAAGATGCAGAAACAAACAGCTGATACCAAGCTGCGAATATCTAGATGTCAAAATCAGCTTAAAGAGAAAGAAAGAAATTGTTCCTTATGTCCAGTCAAACATGTGGTTCATTTGACTGAAGACTAATCACTTCCCCTTCAAAGATTTCTTTTTACATTTTTTTTTTATTGCGCCCTTCCCCTAAACCACATATAAAAAAAAAAAAACTCGGACAAATAGCTTTAGGGGTTGGAACTTGCCTCATCTCTAAGTTCCTTTGAAACCCAATGTAACTTCAAGTGTCAGTCAGACAGCAGACTTTAAAATATTTCTACTAGTTTATAAATTGCTAAACAGCTAAGCATCGAAATACATCAAAGACCTGCTGTTGTTGTAGCAACCATTGAGAGCCCTCAGGTCTTCTGGTTCTGGTTCTGGTCTGCATCCCCAGAATCAAACATGGAGAAGCAACTTCCAAAAAACTGAAAAGCAGCTGAAACACAGAGCTCCTTTAAATAAAGGATGTCTCTTCCTTCCACTTCAATATCCACATATAAACTCCAGAGAATATCCACTGAAATGTATGAGTAATGACCAACACTGACAACGAGATAAAATGTGGAAGGATAACTGCTGCATGAGAGGTTCAGCAAGGCGCTGCACCGGATTTGACAAAGACACAAAGCGACATGAAGTTTTGAATTTTCTTTATTTTATGCAAAGGAAATTCTGATAATTTACAAAACACAAGAACAACACTATTTGCATTAAATACAGGTGACTGAGAAAGATAATGAGAGTTGTCTCAACATGTTACCTTCCCTTCATAATGCTTTCACTCTTCTAAAACCCTCCCATCCCACCATGAAATAAATCCACATCACTTTAAAAGTGTTTTTAAATGCATCATGCTCAGCTTGAAATACTATCAAAAGGTACAGCCAAATCCAGAGACCCTTTCTTGTCCTTTCATAAAGTCCTTCTTCCACCTTTAATTGCAGTTACTTGTCAAAGCGAATATATAGAAGGGGCGCAAAGCGCAAACATTTGTCAATGTTTGCTCCAGTCCCAGTTTGTCTACTCTCATTGTCCCTCCGAGTCCTTTTCCAGCCTTTCGTTTTGCCTCAGGCGCCGTACACGCTCTCGTTGCTGTACGTCATGTAAAGAAACAGGTCCTCCTCATGGTGCTCCTGAAAAACAAGCACATAATGATGCACTATTAGCATGAAAATGGAAAAACTGGGAGCCAAACAAGCCGAGTCCATTTCTAGTTGGATTAAAAAATATATACCACAATAAGAAAACATATTTTGCTCTTCCAGACGTCTTCTTTGTCCCATTTAAATGTTTCAGATCACCAAAACTCATTTTGAAAGCATGATTTCATTTAGAAGGGGAAAGAAAAAACATTATCAAAATCCCTGCCTGAAAAATCGTCACCTTGCATGTCACAAGGAGAACGATCACATGAAACCTAGTTTCAGTTTGAGCGTTACCTCATACACAGTTGAAAGTGGACAGCTGGATGGAGGGAGGGAGTTGTTGACAAAGAAGAAGAGCGCATCCTCTGGTCTCAAAGACATACGCTGACGAATCAGAAAGCACAACTGGCCCACTAAAAAGAAAAAGAAAAAAGAAAAAAAGAGGAAGGAGACGAAGAAGACGGTCAGGAAAGTCTGCAAACGTTCGTTTCGTATAAAGTGAGAGGAAGTGAAAGAAACCCCAACTGCCAGTAACGTCGAAGTCAGCAATGTGGTTTTATTCATGCAAGTTTGCGATCCGTCTCCTGCTCTCACCTGTTAAATCCGACGGCACCAGGTACTTCTTCTTGTCGAGCTCAGGAGCGCGTGACCTCGACGCCCTCTCCACAATGATCTGGAAATTAATGGGACGCAAATTCGAAAAGCAACTCGCTGTGTTTACCTCGTCAATAATAATTAAAATGAAAATGATAACAACTGACATCAACAGTTCAATCAAGGCTGACACTGTAAAGGGTGATCATCAGTTTTACTCACCGGTATCTTGTCAGGATGTTTGGCTCGAACTCGCTCTCCCTCTGCTCTCCTCACCTCCAGCGGTATGGAGCGCTGATATTGACTGCCCATCTAAAAAAAAAAAAAAAAAAGCACAGGAACAAATGAAGTTCACAACAACAGTTTTATTTACTGAGCAGGAAGTTAGAAACTCTTGACTTCAGTGAGGAAAACTGCCAAAGTCATTATGAAAGCTGTCAAGCTTTCTGGAGTGGTCACAGCAGATGCAACATTACACAAACTACTGCAAATGGATATCCTGCAATTACTCATTTTAACATGAAATAAGTTCATAACTTTATTGGAAAGCTGTGGCTTGATCGCTGCTACGTAATATTTAATGCAGTATTAATAAAGAAGATAACACTTTTATAAAACATATTTTCATAACACACTCAGTTCAGTTCATGGCTGCATGCATCGTGTGTAGCTTTTTATTCAAACTGCATTTTGTTTTAAATGACAGGCTTTAAAATTTTGTAATAGAGCATAGCTCATATTTCTCATCAAGGAAACGATGTAATGATAAAAATTAAAACCATATCAAACATTTAGATCTTTTAAGCTGAATTGAAAATACAAAGATGAAAGAAATGTTAATGTTAGTAAAGGTTAACCAATCAGATGTTGGGTCCTATTTGACGAGCCATAGTAACGTTTTTAGTAACTTTACAATGCACAACAGTGTAAATTATTATGGAACTAGTTATTTAATTAATGCTCTCATTAACAGGCATATTTAAGTTTATAAATGAAATACAAGTATTTTCTGTACCTGATACTGTCAAAGGCGTATTTTTTTCAGATTTCTAACTTAACACCAATAATAACGTAAATGTACTTTTCAAAGACAGGATCAAATTTGTTGTTTTGCATATAGAAGCTCAGTAAATTTTAAAGGCCACAAACACATATATATATATATGCGCTCTAAACACCAGAGCAATAGAGGCTCAGATCTACCACACCAGACAAGACCCAAGGTGTAGGTTGTGCAAGGAG